ATAAACGTTCCCATTCTTTAACTGGAATTTTTAGAAAATGTGCCAAACATGATTCGCAGTAAGTGTGGATTAGCCAATCATCTTTAAGACCATGTGTTGAACTAAGAGAGACCAACAAACCTCTCATGATCGTCTGCTACATTTCTGCTTCTTCTGGGTCGATGTGGTCACCACCAGTCTGACCACATCGACCAATTAGGTTTCATGGAGTATTAAGTCTTCACCATACACAAAACATGCTCGTGCAGTGTTCGCATTTTTTTTTGTGTCTCGCGATAGAGGACTCTAACATCAGTGGTATTTAATTGGTGGGTGGAGACGCAGAAGTGGGTCAAGAAGATAAATTAGGCGACTGAGACGACTCATCAATCCCATCAGTCCATTATTTCTAGTTCCAATGTGAAGCAGACTTCCTTTTACAAGGGTTTTCACTGCAGGGCGCCGTCCCCCCCCCAATCAATTGTGCCTTTTGTCTCAACTGCAGCTGGTTTGTTAATGAAAAACACAAAGTCACTGAGCTCATTCAGTTAGTGTCGGAGGGTGAACATCCAGCACCAGTGCTATTAACAGCTACTTATTTGCTTTATAAATAAAAGGAAGTCACAGAAAAAAAACAAATGTTGGTCCCAGAGTGGAATCATTTAGGAACCGTAGGTCGGATCATGAAAAAAGTTCTACTTTACTACTGACCTCATGTGGAAAAACCTTTTACGTCATGAGCACACGTCGCTCGGTTCTACCACCAGCTTCTCAAGCTGTAGGTCGACATGTGGTGGGTGTGTGTGTGCGCATGTGTTTGTGTCTGTGTCAGTGAATGTTTACATGTGTGTGTATATAAATGTAAGGACGAAATAGGACGAGAGAGAGAGAGAGAAGGAGAGATAAAAGTGTCTGAAGCAGCAGCACGGACACAGACACTGATGAGTTTGGAGCAAATCCTTCCTTGGTAAAAAAAAAAAGGGATCTGTTTAAAGGGGAGAGGGTGGCGTGAAGCTCCGTTAGAGTTTAAACCTTCTCCTCCTTCAGTTCATCTGCACCACAACACGACTCATCCCACCTGACTCTGCTGGAGGCTGCGAACACGAAAATAAAACTCTTCTCTTCAACGAGATGAAATGAGAGGTGGGACAAATGAGAGAGTTTTGAAGTGTGTGTGTTCCTACTGAATCAGTAGGAACCCCCCACCCCCCCAACCCCCTACACAGACTCATTATCTGTGTCTTCCTCAGATCCTGGGGCTGGTGGAGGAGCAGATGGCAGCGACATGTGGAAGTGTGCGTGTTTTCGAGTTAAAAACTGAATCATGGGATAATTATTACGATTGCTTTACATCATCTCTTTCTGTGGAAGTCCTGATCCCCGTCTCCGTTTGTTAAATTTAAATCATGCACAGCTCCACACACAGACAAGACATTTAACACATGGATTTAGTTAGAAAACTTTGGGTTTTTTTTTTTTTTAAACTGACTAAAAACGCATGTTTGGCTTATCAGATGATGTCAGGGAGGACGACGAGGACGACATCCAGGTAACCTTTAAGGCCACATAATACCCTATTGTGTATAGAAGTATTTATGGCCCCGTGTGTGTGTGTGTGAGAGTGAGTGTGTGTGCTGTCTGCCTGTTGTTCCCCAAAGAGATTTTCAAACTGACAAACAAGTCTCCGCTCTGACAAACAGCGGTTCTTCAGAGGTCCTTTGAGGTAACGGTTGATGGAGAACCACTCGAACATTACGCAGCCTGTTTACAACTATTGACAGACCATCCTGGCCTCTGGGCCTGTGTGCAACATGTGATGTTCCCAAATTGTGTTTTGGAAAAAGTTTGGAGAATGTACTGTTCTTATAACCACGCAAACAAATGATGTGCTGCCACACAATAGAAGAAAAGGTGGGGGGGAGGGGGGGGGGGGGGGCACAGGGCAACTTCTGCCGCTTCTGCCTCAAATACATCTGCTGCTCAACTCATGGTCAGATACCTCGGGCGGTCGTGGATGAACTACGGTCCACGTAAAAGTCATCACTCACATCTCCTGCAGTAAATGTACAGCTACGATCTCACGATTTCGGGTGTTTTTAGTAGAAGAAATTTTCTAAATTCTGATTGGCCTTAAAGAGTGAATTTACTAAAAACTAGTTACAGATGAGATGACAGCTGGTACATAAGTATTCCTGTAATGTTTGTACATTGCGATGTACCTAGACTAGTCCACGACGTTGGAAATGTTTACTGATTTCAGGTCAGAGGTCACCTCATCCTCCCATCCCATGGATTTGCCAACATTTCTTACAAACACTAACACTCTGTGGATCTGACACCACGTTTCGCCTCGACTAAAACATCAACATGACCAGCAGTAATATGGCTGATGGAAGAAAAAAACAAAAACAGTTGAAATCAGAAATAAGCGTGAAAAGTGACATCACTGCATTTGAGTCTGTCTGCTAAAATAAAGAGTCATTATGTACGCTGCAGAGAGCGCCACGTGTTCTCCAGCAGGGGGATGAGGTCAGTCAGAAAACAGCACCTGAGCTGACGCTGACGCAGCGCTACCTAAACAAAATACACACAGAGAAGCGAGGCAAAAGTCTGGATGTCATCGAAAGAAGGATGACGCCACGCGTCTGAAAACATGGTTATTTTCTGACTTTCCAACATCTGTCCGGAGCACAAGGAAACCATGTACTGCTGTACCTCTGCACAACACGTGTGTTTACAGCAGAAGGACTTTAGGAAGTAGTAAAACCTAACATCTATAACATCCAAGATCAGGCGTGGGCAAACTTTTTGACCACAGTTGTCCTAAAATTAAACAGGGAGGGTGAACTATCATGTGAACTAAGATAAATGACATGTAAAAGTCTAATATACTAAAAATTATTTTAATATTTTCTACACCACCTATTGGGGAAACATGGGTATTGCAAGGAAAAGGCAGAAGTATAGTGATATAGTGCTAAGGTAAATAAATTATATAATTTGGAAAAGTTTGACGGGCCGGAATAAAAAGATGAATGGGCCGCATCAGGCCCCCAGGCCTTAGTTTGCTCATGCCTGCCCAAGATGAACAGCAGAGAAACAGACAATAACATAAAGAAACGCAGAAAAGAAAACCAGACATTGTAGGTTTTAGCTTCACTGGCTCCAGGTCAGAACAAGCAAAACAGCAAAAAAACATGGGCAAAAGTTCAACCTGGCAAAGAAACAAGATGCAACAAACCGACGTGGTCGAGAGCTACCGTGTATATGTAGCCACGGCACCAGGTGACACCAGTGAGACTGATGACAAAGACACAGGTGAGTGTGATCATCACTGATGACCACAGCAGACACAGACAGGAGGGGAGGAAGGAAGAAAAGAGACTCACTCACGTAACATGTCATGTTTATGTGTGAGAAATAATGAAATTATAAAATGCAAAAGAAGATGAAGACAACGTGACTGAGTGAAAATTATATTCTGTATTATTAAGTGATATATAAATAAAAAGTATTTCATTAATTAATTAATTAATTTTTACTGCCAACAGTTGTACGTATATACACTATATACCAGTGTTTCCCAAAGACTGGGTCGCGACCCTCAGGTGGGTCACAATAGTTTTTTTTTGGGGTCGTCTCGCATCATGTTTCCTGATATTCCTGATAGTCTGGAATTATAACTTTCACAGACCTTGTCCAGGACCTGACGTACAGTCCAGTACAGTAACTACCCTGGTGTTGAAGAGGTGGTTCTGCGTTCTCTGTCTGACCCATGAAGAAGAAGAAGCAAATGCAGTACGTAACAATAGCGCCTTCTCTTCTCCGTGGCTACACTGAACGTGCTTACACGAGAGCTCTGGTCCCGTTTAAGGATGAAATCTAATTTATTACAATAAATTGGTACAAAGGTCAAGAAAAACTACTTCAACATGCTCTACAACACAGAGGCTCCGCCGCAGAGGTTTGAACCCAACAATCCAAGTGGAGAGTGGTGAAATCGACACAGTAGGCAGGAACGTCTGAGATGTGCTCAGCTGTCCTCACCCATATACCACCCAGATGGTCTCTCTCTCTCTCTCTCTCTCTCTCTCTCTCTCCCTTAACTTCCTACCAGCACTTGTGGCAACAAAGCACAAGGATGTGTCAATCACAGGCTCCGGTGGGTGTCACGCAGGGACGTGGTATCTGCACTGGCAGGTTGGTCACAGTGGTCAGTTAAAAACACCATCGTCCACAGTGAACATCAGACAAACACAGTTATAAAATACTTAGCATTTGAAGCTAAGTTCCTAATAATCGAGCCTGTTGGTAGTTTTTTTATCCAACCGCCCTAAAAATTAAAGTTAGCAGAGGATGGTTTCGATCCATCGACCTCTGGGTTATGGGCCCAGCACGCTTCCGCTGCGCCACTCTGCTTCTGAGTAGGTTTGAATTACTGTAATCATTATGGTATATATTTCTGTATTTTTATTCAAATTAATGCTAAAAATACTGATATCATAATAATACCTGGAGCAGATGACTATAAAACAGGAGGTGGCGCCGCAGAGATACACATGTGGTGAATCTCTTGGTGCAGGACAACCGTTGGGTTTCACCTCACTGTCTGTCATGACTTCCTCACCTTTTAATGGAGGTGGATTGTCCTGCTGATTTACAGTTGTTGACTCTCTCTACCACAACCTGGTGTTAATGCAAACGCGGCTCGTACCGACCCCGGGAGAAGAGCATCCGTGTCTGCGGTGAGACAGTGGTGTCATCACTCAGGTGCTCTGGAGGAAGGCCTTGGTTTTTTAGTTTTTTTTCTCTCTCTCTCTCTCTGTTTTTTTTTTTTTTTTTCCAGAGTGATGAGAGTGAAGCCATGTTGGCCCCAGTGTGAAGATTCAGCTGCTTGGCCCTTGTTATAACAACTCCAGGAGTCTTGAGGAATGTGGGTTTGTCCTGCAGTCCGTTACTACCCCCCCCCCCCCCCTCCCTCCTCTCTCTCTCTGTTTCTGCCTCACTCTCTGTCCCCTCCCCTCTCCCCAAACAGGGCAATTCCCTAACTTTTCTCTTTTTCTCACAAGCCTATAGTTAAATATTCCATTCTGGAGCACATATCCTGTCTCAAATTCCGACTCTGGGCTCCTCGACGCCGAAAATCACTCCAACTGTTGCAAGGTACTGTGTGTGTGTGCATTGGTGATCTTTGATAACCCCGCTGATCGGTGTCTTTGACGGGACTATTGTTTCACGGGACCGTGCTTTTAACGGGACCTCTTCTCTCCCTGCACGAGCTGAACCGGGGTCGGATGGTTTATACGTTTGTGCGTTTCTTCCGTTAAGATGAATCGCGACTGTTGCACTTTTTTTTTTTTTACCGGTGTTTTTTAGTAAAAGTGCGTGGAGATATCTGATCAGACTGGAATCGTTTTTTCTTTGCACCGTGATAGGTCGACTCGGGGAATAGCGGGGATACTGTTTTTTCCCCTGGCTGCTGAAGTGGAGTTGCTTTTTTTAAAAAAAAAAAAAAAAAAAAAAATTTTATTAATATCTCATTAAGGCACGTGATGATTCATTTTTCATTCATCAAATGACCGTAACGGTGCGGGGGAAAAGGGAAAGTACGGTGTGGTAATTGGGGAGAAACGGCGTATTTTGTGATTCTGTGAAGTTCCATCGGACACAGTCACAGTAAAGTATCTTCTTCGTGTACTCTGCAGGGTTTGTGAGTAGATATTTTACCCTTCAGTATTGTGTTGCACCGTTTTGCGTTTGTGCTCCTGTTTTTCGGACGGCTCTTGCAGGACGACTTTACCTGTAGGTTTTGACAGCACGGCTCCGTCCGTGTCATTGATCAGGCATTTCTTTTGTTCACTATTGATCCCGCCTACTTCATACTTCATATCCACTTATTGTTGGCAGCTAAGAGCACGGGATGTATTTTTTTTCTTTTGTTAAAATGAGATTGATGCACTCAGATAATCTGCAGCGACCTTTCAGATTTGTTTCTCGGGACTAGTCATGTTGAACCACAACTGTTGTGATAATCAATCAGTTTAATGTGTGACTGTAACTTCCTAATTGAAAAAACAAATCTCTGCTAACTTTACTTTTTTAGTGATAGTAAAAAAAACCCTGAAAAATCTTCAGTTGGTGGTGAAAACACAAATGTTTGCTGATGCATTTTTCATGGTCCATGTAAAGAAATGCAACATTGAATTCGTCTTCTTTACATTTATATCTATTGTTTTTCACATCTCTCCACATTTTTCTGTCCACGCTTGAGTTATTTTTTTTACGCCTGATCTTCCCGACTTCACATTTTCCATTTAAATCCACCGGAGTGGCTGCGATGTGTGCAGCCATATTTCTTCCCCTCCTCTCTCTCTCTCTCTCTCTCTCTCTCTTTGTCAGTCCAGATGATGTGGTTAGACCCAGGGCTGGAGGACTGCAGGCTGGGTCTGGGGTCTGAGGTTATATATCACCGGGGGCCCGCTCTTCACTCTTAAACCTATGGTCTATCCTGAGGTGGAGAAGAGAAAATAAACTTCCCGGGCTGTCCACTCCAGCTGGACACTGGCTGTTTTTCAACTTAATATTCCCTAATGCAGTTAGGACAGGTTTCTGGGACTGTGACGTTCCCTCTGTGTGTATGTGGGGGGTTGGAAATGTGAAAAAGTTGAATTGGCCAAGGACTGAAAGTGAAAGAGTTTTTAAAAAATATTCGGATTATTGTGTATGTTTTAATGCACAACAGTGAAGAAAAGAGTAACAGAAAGAGAGAGAGAGAGAGAGAGCTAACAGAAAGAGAGAGAGAGAGCGAGGGAGAGAGACTGTTGGATTAACTGACTGATCCGTACATCACTAGTTAGCTCTGGCTCAACTCTTCACTCCTCTCCTCCCTTTTACTCCCTCTTTGTCTCCTTTTAAGCACAGGGCTATAATTTAGATCCGTTACTGTCAACTTTTTTTTTCAAAAACACAACTAGTGTTTGCTGGTGACCAGCAGTGTGAGGGAAGGAATGATTTTTTTGGCTGGTTGCAAAAGAAACACTGAGGAGGATATTCATTGAAAACTTTTTTTTATTTTTTTTTTTATCTGCCTCCAAACAATCTCAAATTTGCTGTTTAACAGCACTTAGTCACACTGGTGTTTCTGCAATGTTTCTTGTCCGTAGTCAGTTGGTCGTTATGTCGCGTTCATGTGTCTAAATAAATAAATATGTTGCGTTTAAGGGGGAAAAAAAATGCTAAAAGATGCTAATGTAACTCAACATAAGCAAACATGCTAATGAGCTAGTTTCTTAACAGCATGATAGAAACACACGGTAGCAGGAAATATGTCAGTTTCTTCTATATAAAAACTAGTTTAAATCAGATTTGACCTGATCAAAATGTCTTAATCCAATGTTTTCTTTTGTTTTTTTTTTTAACTTTTATCTCCTCTCTCCCTTTGTCTAGCCCCTAATCTGGCCTGCATACCAGGACTGGATCCAGGTCTAGATCCATCTGCTCAGCCTGGGTCCACAGTCAGAGAGTGAGTGCTAACACAGAGGGACTGCAGTCAGAGGGACAGCCAGACAGACCAATGGGGAATCTGGCTCAGATGCTGCTGGGATGGGCAGCAGTGTGTCTTGCGGCGGTCCATGTAGCGTGCAGTCAAACAGGGAATGGACCATTTCAAGCTAGTCGTCTGCCCAGCGCTGTGGACCAGAGAGAGGTGCAGCGAGTTCGACGCCGTGGCCAGGAAACACTGAGAGGGTAAGGACGAGAGAGAGAGTGTGTGTGTGTGTGTGTGTGTGTCACGGTCACCGTCGAAGCAGTGCAGATATCAGGAGGGATGTATCTGATGGAGGAAGAGCGAGCGCAGACTTTTTGGTTTTTCACAAACACTTCTCTCAACATTTGTTGCTCTATCTGGAGAAGGCTTCGAAGAAAAAAAAAAAAAAAAAAAAAAAGAGAGAACCAATTCCCCCCTCTCTGTTTTCCTGGCAGCTTTCTTTCAACTGCTGTGCTCCCTGGGCTGAAGCCAAGCTCGCCTTATACCAAATTATGCTGCTGAATACTACCACATTGTTTTCACAAAAACAGCACATGTTCAACCTCAGTGGGCTCTTTGCCATCTGAAATATGGCAGGGTGTAATACTGCTAATTGACATTTTCATGCTCAAAAAAAAAAAACCAAAAAAAAAAAAAAAAAAACCCACACACCTAGCTTTCTAGACATGTCAGGATGAAATGATGAGAGAAAAGTCGGAGCCAACGTCCCCTGAGTTCATTAGTTTGGGTGGAGAAAGTATTTCAGGAGTGTTGGCGTTTTTAACGTCAGCGCCGCTGGTTTTTGAGATGATGAGATGAGGCGGGGGGCGGGGGGGGGGGGGGGGGGGGGGGGGCGGCTGTGTGTGTGTGTGTGCTACATATGAACACACACACACATATATATATGCACGTGTATGTTTGTAAAGGTGTTGTTTATTTGAGTGTCTGTATGAGGGGAGTATACAGTGGAGATCACATCACCTCTCACCAGCTGCAACCTCCCTCCCCCCTCTCCCCGCTCTCTCCCCCTTTTTCTCTTTTCTTTTTTTTCCTGTAATCCAACTCTTTCACTTAACAACTCAAATCTGCACGTGTGTTGTATGTCAATGTAGCAAAAATTGCTGTATATTTTGCCACAAAACAAAAGATTTTTTGTTGGGGCCTGTTTTTTTTTTTTTTTT